CTTCAACTGCAATCACTAAAAATGACATTTTAAAAATTGTCAAGAAATGACCTAGAAAGCTTCAAGAAATACAGAAGCTAAGAACCAAAAATGCTAAGATTTTAATTGTAACTGAAGATATTTTCTTCAAAACTAATACAATTTAATTATGTGATGAATTTGCTTCACCGTGTTAACATGCACATGAATGCCCTTCACAGAATTGCCACAGAATTTAGAAGGAAAATAAAAAATCAGTCAGTGTCTTTTATTCTGAAACTGACAAAGATTCATGGGTAGTAATTTGGACTGTGATACTGGTTGAGTAAAATTACACTTATAAATACTAGGATAATATGTGAAAGTAAGCAAGACAGACAAAGTAGTAACTTTTGGAACACTAGGTAATAGCCAGAAAGCAAGTTCAGCTCTGAAATAATGCCACAGAATCAAATGAAATTATGCAAAAGAATCATTTGGTCTTGTTTGTTTAATATAATTGTTCCTAGGGAGCTACCGGTACGGTGATCTTGGGTGCAGACTTCTAAGAAAAAGACGTACAGATGGAAGAGAAAGTACAGATGGAAGAAAAAGTAATTTCAGAGAATCAATTTTCAATTTTGTTTGTCTGTTGCGTTTTTTGTTGTTGTTTTTGTTGTTTTGGTTTTGTTTTTACATTACTAACAATATATTTCAAATGCAGTTGATACCTCTGGTTTACTGGACATAAAGTTATCCTCATTTCCCATTGGGCAAGGTTGGATGTGGAGGATACACTGACAGAATGCATGAGTTTCTCACGTGCTCAGAAAGAGGTACAAAACTATTTTTGTGAAGGCCTTCTGGATACAGGAAAAAAACTGAGTGACCACTGGTTTTAAAGAAGGAATTATGATTTTCCTGAAGATCATAAAGGAACACAGATCTCATAGGATCACTTAGTTTAGAAGATCGGTAGCTGCATTAATGTAGCCTTTGTTACAATCAAGCAGTTCACATAACTAATGAAAGATACTTTTTATTTCAATAATTTTTACTTTTACTTTGCTCACTATAGAGTTATCTACTTTTTTGATTTGTCTGGAGATAGTAGTGATTGATAACTTTTAACATTTTCCTTCTGTCTTTATTTAAATCTATACTACCAAGAGATTTATGAAAGGCATCTCCAAAAACTGATATTTCTCTTGAAGCAGTAATGAGTGCAAATGCCTAAAACTGAATATTTTTGCCTCCTGTAAGCAAATTAGAATACAAGGAAAAAGCTGACGCTTAGAAATTTTAGACTGAATTAGTGTTGGATCCAGAAAGAACAAAACTGGTATCAACACTTTTGACTGCAGTTTGCTCATTCAGTGCATCTTTAAATATCACAAATGTCATTGTTTCATCCGTGGCCATATATCTGAGTTTCAAAAGAACAGATCACGGACTCAAAATGAGTTACATCTGGAAGAAAGAGCATTATATTTCCCTTAGTTAGATGTCTACGAAATGGTTTATGTGAAACTTTCTAGTTCGGTAGATATTACACAAGTACGGTATAATTTGGAGCAGAAACTATACATGCATCTTCCAAGAAATTTTCCAAGGAAACTGTCTCAGCCTTCTTATTTTACCTCAAATTAATTACTCTACTAATCAGGATAATGCTCTTGGACACTATCTCTGTTTCTTAGCATAACTAAGACTTTGTAGGACATATTCGAGAATTGAATTTTAATACTTAGTTTAACATTTAGCAATCACAAATTCTGAAAATAAATACCAGTAAAGGTAATTACCAATAAAGAGGTAACAGAGATTTTAACAAGCTCTAGGGTTATTATACTTAGCATTATATATCCTACATATATTATACGCAACATCCAATGTTATTTTGAACCTGATGGATCAAAAACCTAAAATGATAAGATTTTTTCAGTAAATGATTACAAGGCTACTAATTTCTTAAAGCTATGAAAACCCACATAAAACCAGATATTTAAAAGGTCTTAATTGTTTAATTTGTTCAGATTTCAACTTTAAATGGAATAAAATAGTCAGGAAAATCCCTCTAGAGAACAGCGTGCAAAAGTTCACATGGAATATTTTATTTCTTTTCCTGGGCAGCTTCCATCTTTTCCTACTAGTTTCTGCTGAAGCAGAATGCTCTTTGTACTATAGCCTCTGGCAATAAACCTCTTAACTGTCACCAAAAGCTCCAATACATGATCTTTACTATCCCCATCAATCTTCTTTATTCTAATGAGCTGGATAAATGGGAAGTCTGTTCTTAAATAGCTTGCGATCAAGTCATCAGCATGCATTGTTGTTTGCCATATTCCTAGGGGACTGGGGGTTATCACTTTATTATATTTCTGTTATTGTCATATACATAATTCACATGTGTTACTAGAAGCAGAAAAAAGTGCCACTTAATCTGTTTTGCTGGAATAATACTTGCTCTACTATAAATTTCTCATCAATATCAATAAAACTCCAAAGCAATTGAAATTCTTGTCTATCCCTTTGCTGATGTAACATGTTTTTTAAATTACATCTCTGTTTTGTAGGGGGTCTTTGCAATTCTTTCTTCCTTAAAACACTGACTACTTTTCTAGGTCACACACATCTCTTTATGAATAGGAAGATTCAGGTGATATTGCACTAGATAATATTTTGTACATGTCTTCAGCTGACATGGCATTAATTTGAAGATATAGCAAATAATCAAGAGCTAAAAATGGGAAACTGCCTCACATAAAAGAAGTTGCATTCTACATTTGGTATCAGCAGTTACAACATCTGTCATAATCTTAATACCAGAGATTTCTCTTTCTTCAGCTTTCTTTTGTGATAAATGCATGCACAAAACATTGTATTTCTTAATATTCAGCCCAGGAGAGATATTGGTATTCCAGTGACACCAATCCTGACCCCAGTAACAAAAACAGACTTAGCTTACCGGGCAAAGGCTCCTGATCTGCATAGAGAGCTGGCAGTTCCACACATTTGTCTTCATTAGGGTTGAACAAGCAGTCAAATGCTAAATACATCTCTTCCTTTGTGCCCGTGTGCTTCATATGCAGTAAATCTAAGCGCCACGGCTGTTTTAGCTCGCTGTGTGGGCCGGTTACCTGAACTTTGTATAGCAAGCCAATATCTGACAGTTCATCCTATGCAAGAAAAAGAGAAGATGAATGGATCTCTTTCTAATTGTGCCAGTGCATACACAGTTGACAGATCTATGCAACAATTGAACAAACTTTAACAGATGAAGAAGTGGAGCAGGTTTATAACAATTATTATTTTTCTCTTTTCTAATCATATTATTTCCTTTGCTCTCATTGCCAATAGTTCCAGTTTCATAGTATTTCTTCATACTTAGCATGGATTCTTTAGCACAGAAAAATTTCCTAAGGACTATTCATTTTTTATCTTGTTTACAACCTAACTTAGTGGGTTTAGTTTCTCTTCCATTTAAGAATTTAAAAAAAAAAAAAAAAAGCAAAAAAGCAAAAAAGCAAAAAAGCCAATTATCTCTTTAGTGTTAATCATTAACTGTTCTTTACATGACTAGCAGGAATAAGAATCAAGAACATTTTCTTTACTCACAACTCCAAGGCTGCTTTCTGATGAAACTGAGAATCAAAAGAAACATATTTTCATTCTATGGGCTTTGTGCCAGGACTCTTTTCATCCCTATTTTCCTGATATGCTCCTGCTACCTCCTTCTGCTGTTCCATCAACTAATCCTTAAGAAAGCTTTCCTAGGACATAGCTTCACAGACACACTTTCATGTTGTAAAGCTGGCTTAGAAACTTCCACGGACTTGTCTGTCCACTTCTCTTTGTTCACTTAGTCCTGACATATAGTTGTTTTTACAAATGAAGGAGGAACTGATCAAGGTCAAATTTAAGCTAACGAACTAGCTGGGGATAATGAAACCACTTTTCTCATAGGGATCAATAATTTCCTCAAAACCCCAAATAATTTCCTCAAAACCCCAAAGGCCAACAGTAAGATGGAATAAGAATTACAAGAAATGAACAAGTAATTGTCATGATTCCCTTGAATATTCTCCTAGTTTTCTGCGCTTCATGATTAGGGATTTCTTAAGACAGATGAGGGGTCTGAAGCATTTGCTTCAGTTGGTCAGTTCCAAATTCTGCTGTATTGGTCATTCAGAGAGAGCAAAATTGGAAAAGCATAAAAGTACCACAGCACTGATACTGAGCAAGGAATTGTAGTTGTAGGAGGGAAGAACCATTGAAGTAGAAGCAGGGCACCTTTCAATAAACTCAATTTCATTCATTCATCCGATTAAAAGCCTCTTAATATTTCAATTGATAAGTAACTCAAGAAACTAAAAACGAAGAATAAAGGAGTAAATTTAGGGAGTAAAAGGAGCTAATCAAGAGAGAAAAGAAAGTCATAAAGACAAGCAGAAATAAAAGAGAGAAACACTGGAAGAAAATGTAATTACCCTGGAAAAAAACATGGTGGCAGAGATGAACAAATTAAATTAAATAGAAAATTAGCTCTGTAAGTTTTATCTCATTTATGTTTCTTCCTTCTCCATCATCCGCCCACAAATCTCTGTAATATCCCACAAATTGTATGTTTACAAATTACTTACTTTTGTGAAATCAATTGAAATCAACAAGAACTGTAAATCACTACATGCTGTCTGGTATATCTTGTGATATGCACCTAGGGACCAATTTGCTTATTTAAACATTCTCCGAATGAAACCTTGGGAGAAGGTTCACTCCTGCTCATTCAAAAGCTGCTGCATAAGTGATAGCCTTACTGACTACAAAGGAAGAATATTATAATCCATGTCAAACTACACAGAGAACTTAAAAATCAATTTAGTAGTTTAAAGAAACAATTTATCATCTCAGAAGTAAGAGGTTTATCACAGGTACATGATTCTTAGATTTTTCTTTTTTTTTCCAATAGATAAAGATTGAAGTACTTCGATTTGAATTTCTTTTCCTGTAACTTGAAGTGGCAACTTCTTATGATTCTGGTTGCCAAAGAAGATTAAAGAGAGGTGTAATGGATCCTCTTCACTGCTCCAGTCAGATCCAGTGATGTCCATTATCCAGAGACCAGATGACTGCATGATGACTTTAGGCAGTTTAGGATGAGAAATCAATCTTCTACCTTTAAAAATGATCAAAGAGAAAGAGGAAAGACGACAGTATGACAGACTGGCATAATATAACAAGACCACAGCCTTTACAATACACAAAGCCAGCTCTATTTGCAGGTTATGTTGTATCTATGGCAACAGTTCACTAAGAATAACACATCAATACTTTTTATTATTTTTTTTGCCAATAATTTAACAGCTAAATGTTCCTTCTGTGTTTTAGTTTCACAGGTATTTTCTTAATAGAATGTTCTTTTTCTTGTCATGTTTGGAAGAAATTACTAAGAGAGCATCTAGTCACCTTTTAGAGGTCTAATCAACTGTTCTTAAAAAAAAAAAAAAAAAATCAATGCTATTAAAACCACTTTATCATTCAGAAGCCCCAAACACACCTGTAGCCTGTAGACATCTAATATAAAATTAATAACAATGAACTTCACATGACACTATCTCATATTTAGCTATATTATATGGTATAATAGTGTGAGACTGACATAGAGTAAACATGCAAAAATATTTGCCAGATCTTCAGTAAAACAATCTGACCTTCTCCTTCTCTTTTTCTCCATTAATTGTCACTATCTTTCATTTCCATTTGGATCTGAACAACTTGTGGTGTAGTAGGCTTGGAATGAGTATATACAAACAAAGCACAGCAGAACTGTATTTCTTTGCACAGTGGAATAATACCACAGGTGAGTTAATACACAGATTGACTAAAGTAACTTTTCTCTGGATTTCAAATTAGATCCTTACCAACTTGAAAAGTAGCGCATAAGACTTAAGCTATTTATCCCCACAAGGCATACATTTCAAACTCTTTACCTGCTTTAAATCTTTTGCTGTAATGTGATAAATTTTAATTTAGATGGTGAGAGTTTTATACACAACGTATTTACAGGATGGAATTTTATTAACTTTGACATCACCAGATGTTGTATTGTTATAATAACCAAATCAAACTGAAAATTCACATTTTCAATTTAAAAAATCACTTTAGAGACCTGCAACCAAATTCAAAAGATGCAGAGAGCCAGGCCAGATTGCAGAAGAACTTACCAACTGTAAATATCTCACAAACAGTCTCACATAATCCCAGATGAGTATCAAGCCAGTTCCAGCACGGAAAGACCCACTCATTGTCTGAGTCTTGTGATTCCCTGACTGTTATCATCTTGAGGTACATTCCAGCCCCATATCCTTGCCCATCATGTCCTATGATCACTTTTTGCAAATGACTCAGAGAAACAGCTTCCACCAAAAAGGAATCCACCTGCAAAGAAAATTGAAATAATACGACATCTTGGACCTGAATGTGCTTGAACTCAGGGGAAAACAACCTGGATTCAGCAGACGTTATATGCTTGTCTGTTTTATATGGGGGGGTTATTTTGGTAACATTTAACATAACATCTCCCCTCTGAATCTAAGAAAGCACACATTAATTATACCTAACCTTAAATCCCACTCATGATTAACGATGTATTGTAACTTCATCCGATCTTTGGAAAATACGTATTTTATGAATCATTTTACATTTAAAATACATATACATCAGCATTCTGGCAGGTTAAAAATGATGACAATTTTGGTTATAATCAAATTATTTTCAGGGCACTTCCAGTATCAAAAGTATAACATAAATTTAGATTTTAAGGATCATTGAGTTTACTTATGTTAACAGGCCAAAAGAAAATGTAAACTAAACATTTTGTCGCCTTTTTGTTTTTCTTACAAAATGAAAATTACTGCAACAGAAAACTGAATGATTAAGCAAGACAACATGGAGAGAGTTGAGTGAAAGACCATAAACAGGAACTGAAGCAGAATGGAGTAAGAGTAAGAAAAAGGGCATCAGGGGATGAAAAAAAAAAAAAAAAAGATAAATGTGAAACAAAACAGGTTTTCTGTACACAGTCCAGCCTAGGGTCTGGTGGACTTGATTGCAGCTTCTAATGGTCAGCAAAGTTATGAATAACAAGAGTTTAAACAACATCTAGAATTATAATTAATACCATTATCCCAATAAAATATTGACTTAATAGCAGGAACTTACTAAACCAGATGTAAGGACAACTAAAAAGAAGATAATTGCAAATTGATCTCTAATAAAATGTAGTACTTTCAAAGTCCTCTATGTTGCTTGTGCTACTTTTAAAATAAAAATATTGAAGAAGTAGCTTTTCTGTTACTAACATTAAAATTACCTTTGCATGACAAAAATACCAATTTTCTTTTTAACAATAGTCAGGATTTGACAACCAGATTGTAAGTGGAAATCATTAAATTTTTTAATTAATATATTTTAGGAAATAAATCAGAGAATGAAGGTGAAGTAAAATAACTGTAGAGTGCTATTTCTGTACATAGCCATAGCCCTGATATGTTGCAAAAAATTATTTTTAGAAATTCTCTCAGTTTATACTGAATCCGGTTTTTCCTCACCCTATCAAATCATTCCACAGAAATCTAAGACTCTCTAGAAGCAAAATTGTTATGTGCGTTCTCTTCTTTTCTCTTGTCCAAAGTCATTGAGTAAACTTAGTTTAGTGTTTAACTTGGGGCTGAGGTTACAGAAAGCACAGAACTTGTAAGTCTCACAGCAATTTCCTTAACTATTTTTCTATCCATAATTTTTAATTCTATGCTACCCATGCTGTCTTAAATTTGGAATAGAACATAGTGTGATCACAGTTTGTCCTCAGGAATCTGCTTTGTGTTTGCTCATACAGCACTGGAAATGTGCTTGTCCAAAAAAGAAATAACACTGACATCAGTCTGCTGTAAATAGTTGGACAATAAATTCTATTTCCATCTGATGGCCTTTTACAAAGGAGTGACAGTATTTGCGGATGACACCAGGCGGAGTGGTGCAGTTGATACAATAAGAAAAGGATGCTATCAGGAGGGACTAGGACAAGCTTGAGAAGTGTGTCCATGTGAACATACTGAGGTTCAACAAGTCCAAGGTTTTGCACCCAGGTCAGGGCAATCCCAGATATGTGTACAGACTGGGAGAAGAACTCATTGAAAATAGCCCTGCAAAGAGGAATTTTGAAGTCTTGTCAGATGAAAAGCTCAAGATAAACCTGCAGTGTTCGCTTATAGACCAGAAGGCCAACTACATCCTGGGCTGATCCAAAAAGGGAGGGGGGGTTGGCAGCAGGGAGAGCACGGTGATTATCTCCTTCTGGTCAGCCCCTGTGAGGCCTCACACTGAAACCAGCCCTGCGGTCCCCAGCACAAGAAAGATGTGGAATTGATGTAGCAGATGATCAAAGGCTTGAAAGGCACCTCTTCTATGAAGAAAGGCTGAAGGAACTGGGCTTGTTCAGCCTGGAGTAGAGAAGGCTCCAGGAAGACCTCACTGCAGTCTTCCATATTTAAAGGGAGATTATAAACAGGAAGGAGGCTAACTTGAGCAGGCATTAAGTGATGCAGTGTAGTCAGTTGTAGGTCCTGCACATGTAAGACAGCATTTTTGTGCCATTACCTTATTCCTTTGGAATTTCCTTTCTGTTGCTAAAGGTGTATGAAGATTCCTTACACCTGTGTCACCTCTTTTGCCATAAAGGGTGATATAAACGTTTGCAAAGGTTTCTGCTCCCCAGCGGTCACCAGTATGTACAGAGACAACATATTTATGGACTGTTCAAAGAAAAGAAAAAAAAGTACAAATGAAACACTTCATTTAAAAAAGTGTTCTTAAAGAAAAAATCAGTACATATTGTTTAGTAAGACTACTGTTTTCACTTCTGGAACTGCCAAAAAATCTGCTGTACAGTGATTAAAATGGGTTACTCTTTGTGAATGTGATATCTTCAAGCAAAGTGTAATGAAGTCTTTCCATTACTTCCTTAGAAATCCAGTGAAATTGGATTCAGGCAACTCAGACTTACTAGTATCCAGACAAATTCTATCTCAATCTATTTTACCACTCAAGTCTCGAAAAATAAGTCATCTGAGGTTTTTTTTTACTGTTAAAAACTACATAATCTTTGCAGTAGTTAATAATCATCACAGGTCAAAGAATAAACTGCTATGTAAAGTTTATTCAAATTAGGTAGAAGAAACTGATGTAGCATAACCTCTTGATGCATGGTATGAGATATAAGCATAAAAATGTATCAAATGCACATATTAATGCAAGGTGCATGACAGCAACAGCAAAACGTTTTTGCCTCTGTAGTGCTCCTGTATAAACACATTTTCTTCTTTCAATTGATACAGCTAGAATGGATTTTCTTCTGAGAAATATCACTGAGTTGCAGATGTATTCATACTTCAACAAAGAGAATAACCAAAATTTTTCAAATGTCATTTTTAACATACTGTCCTCCCGAACTAACATTCAACTAACTTAAGCCATGGTTTCTTTTAAGGTTGTGAAAAGGTTTGAGATATTCAAGAACTAGAATTTCTGGAACTTCAGTTTTGAAAAGCAGTCTTGTTTCATATCACTTTCATCTCGTGTAACTTCCAACTTTTCTGAACAAATGCAGTGCTTCTGCAGGCCTTCACACTCCAAGAGCACTTACGAATATTCTCTGAAACTCTCAGCATGTCAGAAAAAACACCTTAGGGAAAAACAATGCAAAACTTTTTTGTACAATTGTTCCCATTAGTAACTGAAATTATAAACCAAGTAATCCAACAGCAAATCTACAATGGATCATTTCCATAGCTGTGAACATGTGCTTTAACTTTTAAAAGTATAATTATTTTCTTCAGTTTTGTACACAGAATCGTGCAGAAGGTTTAGCAACTGTGAAGTCCAATCTGCCACTTAACTGGAAAATTAAATTTCTTAAATGGTCAACATTTTTACAGGGTATGTATGAAGACTATTGGGATTGACCCACTGAAGATATCAAATGCTCAACATATGTTATATTCTACATGTGACATTTATTTATTTTCAAGAGGTTAGCAGTGTTCATATCTGCTCAGTGTTTTCACCTGGTAAAGTTTTCTGGTCCTCACTGACTACAGGGAATTCTTTCACCAGCTCCTTGTCTTCTCTGCTAAGAGACAGCCAGCAGTTGCAGTCAAAGTTCAACTCCTGTTTTGTATGTAGCTCTTCTAAATGGAAAGACTTCAAGTGCCAACCCTCAAAGCCTGGCACGTCATCACAGCTGACCCGAATCTTATACACATCTCCCACATCTCCAGTCTCAACCTGCAAAAAACATCAAGAGGAAGAGCATGTTGTCAGGACCGCTTCACTCACAGCAATTTTCTCAGCAGTGTAGAATCCTTTAACTTAATATTAACCCATGGAGAAACTGTGTTAGAGGGTAGGATGAGAGCAATAAGGGAATCTCTCCTTCTCTTCTCCGTGGATGAGACTGCCTCCTTTACTTTATTCTATTTCCATTTCAGTAATGTATAATACTTAAACACTATGGTGAGTTGAGATTAAAATTAATATCATTCAAGCTCATAAAGCAAATGTAACGTGTTAGGATATGACCCTACTGGATAAGGAGAGTGTTAACTTACAATTAAAGCTTCTAATATCAGAAGTCATATTAGATATTAAAATTAATAATAATTACCACAAGCTGAGATCATTTTAACTGAATCCTCACTTACAAAATGTTTGCATTTAAAACAAGAAATTATTTTATAACCACTTCTGAGGAAAAGAGGGATATTTCTGCATAAACTTAAATCATGCAGAAATAAACCTGTAGAACATCACAGCCATTGCTCCTATACAACCTGTGGGAAAACCAATATCTGGTTGCAGACTCTGGGTTTCTGTGAGATCTGTTTAAACCACCCAAAATAGCACTATGGGAATTGGGATTTGCAAAGTGCATTGAATGATCTAATGATTTGTGTGACATTAGCAGCTATACAATAAGACTTTCTAGCCCCAGGAAGTAGAGTGCTGCAGCCTTTCACCAGGCAACGGCAAGAAAGACATGATAGGAAATGAATTTCAAGAAAAACAAAAGACAGAACTATTCTAAAAAAGACATTTATTTATTTATTTTAAATGGATCAAAACTGAAATTGTAGCCTTGTTCTTCCTTTCTACTGCATTTTATTCTCCCAGACCAGTTACGATCTAAGCTTTGATGACTGTTACCAGGAAGTAAGTTCTTTATGCATTCGGTAGAATTTACGCATCACAGGAGAATTAGAGTTAGCCTTATGCAACCATGCTATGGAACCACGAGCCCACTGATCCCTAATACACAGCATGGAGCTCTTAATAGCTTAATTAATTCTGTTACTCAGCATAGCTCTGTTCCTGACAGTTCGTCACTGCTGACCCACCCTTCTTAAAGGTAGTTCATCTGACTTTGCTCACTGGAGACAGACAAGTAGTGAAATATTAGCTACGTTATTCTTATTAGGGAAGAACAGTTAAAAGGCATGGTTTTGTCTTTCTCGGAGAGCATTGACCACCCTCATTAATAAATGTTATGAATAGAAAAAACAGTAAAATGGCAGTGTATGAAGAGGAACAGCTAATTAAAAAGAAATAGCAACCTGCCAAAATCATTTTACGGAAGCTTGAACTGTTTATGAAGTAGAACTTAAGAAATGTGGTAAAGAATTGTACTTGAAAACTTAAAAGGTCCCTTCCAATCACAATTTCTTAAAGCAAGCATCGCAAGATTTTACTATGTCACCCCAGAAAGTGAAGGTTCGAGGCACTGTTCTGTAAGGACCAGCAGCACAACTCTGTGGTGGTCCAGCATCCCCAGCGCTGCAGGGAATCTCGCAGCTCTCAAACTCTACAGCATGTACAATAGCCACCACAGCAGTAATTTTGCATCAAAAAGGGCACCAGATGTGTCCTCTCTTAGAGCCTGGCTTGCCCTGTTTGCCTGTATGCTGTCATACATATTTAAGAATTTAAGGACATTGCTGATAATGTACTGCTGATATGTGAGGAATTATGCATAGTGGATTTACCACATCTTTACATCCTGACTTGATCTCCATCATTGCTCCAGAAACAGGGAAATATGTGGACTGAATATTTTATCAAGAGTTTTTCAATCTTGCTATGCATGCTGCAGATGATATCATTAGCTATGGAATGGTAAGTGGCCTAATTCCTCTTAAAATATGCATTCATCTTTTATTAAACCTAATGGGTACTATCTAGGACTATCAAGATGACAGTGCACAGCTTCTTCACCCATCTAAACTGTGGTCTCTTCACAGGCAACAAAATTATTGCTTCTGGTCTTTCAGAATCAGACTGATTTGTAAAATGATTGTCTGCAGATTTTCTTTCTTGCAGATGGATCTCATGACTATCATACAGCTACTCTAAATGCCACACAGCACTCCATGTGTTTGAAGCAGAAAGCACTAGCAGTCATAATGTCCATGATCATCTGTTGAGGCAAAAAGCATCAAATATTTTCAATTGAACTTATTAGGTATTCCTCCTCTTTTCACATTTATTTGTTAAGGGTTTTTTTTTCCGTGGCTCTGGCTACACTATCCTTTCTGTTTTGCTCCATCATTTTCAGATCATTGTTATTATATCATAATAATCATGGTCCTTTTCTGAGCAATTTAATACGGTCAGTTTCCCTTTGGAATATGATATACTATCTTTGATCCCATAATTGGCTTTTCCTTCCATCAATGCCTATTACTTGATGCAAAATGACCTTCATTGCAGAGACAGAAAGAGAATCCATCACAAAGTATATCTCAATGAATTTCCTCTTTGTGAGTTGGCCAAATGTTTGCAAGAGAACATTAACCTCATTTTTATTCATGATTAAAATTTCCTAATTAATTTATCCACATTTATTCCTTCTGGACAGTTTTATGCAGTACTCCCTACTTGAAATCTGAGCTGAGTTGAATGTGGTTTGTCATATACTAAATAGCAGTGTTTTTCCATTGCACTTTTGAAGGAGAACAGTTCTTACAATCATGATGATGCCTTTGGAAAGCCACTGGGGATTTAAAGCTCTCGGAGAAAGTTAACTGATGAAAATGATTAGAAAATTTCACAATATTTTAAAACTTTTCCTTTTTGAATCAAACAAGGCTTGTCCAAAGTCATAATTCCTAAAGTAATTAAGGTTACGTATAATTTATTGTTTGGGTGCACACTTAAATTCTTTATTGCTTCTCTGTATAAAAAATAATAATTATAATAATAATAACAATTTTTAAAAAAAAGAAAAAAAGAAGAAAAAGAAAAATCTGTGCATAAATGATTCTAGTTATAAAGTATGTTGTCAATGCACCCTAAATTCAGCTGAACAGTTTTCTGTCAGAAACTCCAGAAGTCCTGCTATTGGTTGTCTAGAGCATCATCTCACACTGTGGAGAAAACACAACACATTGCATTATGTAATCTAAGTTTTTCTGTCATCCTCATACTCGTTAAACGAAAACACATTCCACATTCATTGTGTATTTATGAACAGTCCTCCTTGCAGAGCTTTCTGCTTACTGCACTGTCACTCATCCCACACTGCATGTGCAAGTGCTTTGGAGAATTACTGAATAGTTTTAAGGATCCAAATCCCGTGATCTGTCAGTCAGTGTAACTTCGCATTTTACGATTACCTGCATAACGGAAAGTGCAGAGTACAGCAGCACTCTCCAAAGGCATGCTCTGACGAGCTTGCTCTGTAAGCAACCAAGAACCATGCTGAGTACTGGGGGAAATATATATATATATATATACACACACATACTTCACAGATTTTTTCATTCCATTAGAGATCAATAACTGATTTCTGTCAACACTGAAATACCATAAAAAAAAGTAAAAATCTGGGTTCGTACTGTCAATTTACTTACATTTTGCCAATTATTTTTTGATACATTTGTTCATTGCAGCTGGCAAGGTGTCTTGCCACGCTATGTGTCTTCAGTGCCAGAACATCCAAACAATTCAATAACATAGACAAACTCACATATTTCTCAATTAATTTATTATAACTACTTTGTTCTATTTAAATTTATTCTTATTTAAGCAGATCACCCATGCTACCGCTGCTACCTGAAGTCACCAAAACTCAACACCTGCACATGCTGCTATTTTATCTCTTTTAACAAATTATTCTTTGCTCCTGCTACATGCAATTAAACTACACCTGTACACTCACAGGAGTTGGGATGAAAAATTTTGGATCAAATAATCATTCTGAATACGATACACATCTGTGCATATATTTGTATGAGAGCACCTGGAAAATCAGGAATTTACATGCCTTCCTGTCCTCTGTGCGCAGTAAATGAATCTCTGAGATCAAAATTATGTCTATTGTTTCAAAACAAGCATGAGATGCTTATAGCACATAAACTGTTGTTGTTCTTACTGCATTGAGGACAATTCTCTAAGACCAGGTTCCTGGGGAGGTTGAAAAGTCCTTTTACTGCTGCTTGTTGGAAAAACAGCTTGTCCTCTTGGAGATATTATGCTCATGCCTCCTGCCTGCTGTTACAGTGGGAGAACACAAGCAAAGCTTCTGAAAGCCTTAGTAAGAACAAAGGAAAGGAGAGGAAAAAGAAACTGGATTTATTAGCTGAAAAACATGGAGAAGATATTTATGAAGACATCTGAATACCTGGATACATCAGACCTGCTACTTTGACTTCCTTAGAATGCCACAAAAACTGGAAAACACTATAAGCAACGTGAAAAAGAGAAATTTTCACGTCCAATGAACGGTGCTCAAACACTTTCATACAAAGCAACAAAATCAGGGCATAAATAGCTAAGGGAAATACACAGACACAAACCCAAAGCCAATCCAAAGTATGATGAATCATTTAGAAAGAAATTAGATTGGAATTCCAGCATGGTAGATATGGTGTTATGGTACCAAAAATAGAAGAGTATCAGGGACAATCAGAACAGTCACATAACAATACTGGTTTCTCCTGGCACCTCACTCAGTCAGTGAAATTAGGCAATCTTAACAAGCACTACAAGCCTTTTGGGAAATTACTGACAAGTTGAATGCAGCAGAGATCTGCTTTATGCAGTGATGCTTTCCAAAACTCAGCCAGCTGGTGGGGTACCTCCGTAGATAGAATGCTTCTATTGACCTTCAATCTGCACCAACAGCTTGTGAAGCTTTTGTTGTTTGGTGAATTTCTTGCTTTCTAATAAGCAATAGCTTTCTTGTTTTCAGCAAGTGCTATTTATCTTTTCATTTACTCTCTGCAAAATTTCTAAATTGCTTTAGCTTGTTATTTAAATTCAAAAAAAATCAGCTTGGATCTGCTCATTCTGAGGAAGACTTCACAACATTTTCTAAACGTAGCTTTGTCATTGTTTTCAGAATGTTTATTGCAGCCATTGAAAAGCACTTCTGAGCTTTATAAAATTGCCATGAATTGCAAGCTAGTTCTCTCATCTGGCTAACTAGAAGCTGTACTTCAAGCCAACGAACAGAATTTGCAATGATATAGCCTAGCAAGCCAGGTTATAATCTGAACATTAAAAAGATGCCTCAGATGAATGCTCTCAAAGCAGCAGGATGTATGTGAGGTATACAGGTAGTCAGGACTGTGCTAAGGTTGATTTTAACAGTGAACATATATATACTGTTGCCTTAGGGTTCATTGCTCTTTGGTATCCTATGATTATTCAGGAAAACTCACTGCCTGGTGGCTTGAAAGACAGAGGCATTTGGGAGGAGATTGGAGACTGTTTTATGAAGACTGAAATGAAGGAAAGAAAAAGCCACTTATGTCCTCTGGGAATAACATATAATCCTTCTTTCTCAAATAATTGCATATTGGTTTTGTATAAGCTGGAACTCAGGATTCTTTAGAGAATTAAAAACAAAGCAACACACAAGATGAGCTGGTGAATGGTATAAATTACATGAAAGGACCATTTATCTCTCTGATAAATACTGAAAATTCAAAGAGAACACTGCACCTGCCTGTTGTCAAACAGGTCCAGAAGCAGATGACCAAATACGTAAAGTCACATAATTCCATCTTTAGCAATAAATACGTTACATGTAGCAACCAAGCTAGCCTTCCATAAATATAGATCTTTGGATATATATATATTTGGATATATTCCTGGCGAGGAATGTAATTATAAATATAGTACTGTAGTAATAGCACTGTAGAAAGTTGTACTGTATAAATATATTACGACTTACAATGAATTCATCAGTTGCTCTGGGTAGAAAACATACATGTCCTGGGTCTTGTGGTGAAAGCAGTAGCTCATTGCTTTTGCCCTTCGAGCCATAAATCATAAGGGTCCTTTTGCAATTTTGTGGCTCTGGGGAATCTCCATCTGTTTTCACCTGCACTCTCCACTGTTGTGCTAAACAACATAGAAACGGCAAATTTTTAGTATCAGTGGAAGAGAGAAATGAAAGCCTTTGTTATTATTACAACAAAGAATTTAAAGATAGCCATTATAAAAACAGACAGGCACGCCTTCTCTTGAAGATAATTGTAAGTTAAATAAGACTTTACGAAAAAAGCCAACAGTAAAAATGGGTATGCAAGCAGAAAGAAATCCAAAGAAAGAAAGGAAATAAATCTTTGGGTAAGTTTTTGCATTCCTTATTACAAACTCACTGTTTAAATTGCAGTAATTCATTTATCAAGTTTGGGTACTTAAAGTTTTCATATGAAATTTTATGTGATTTATTTGCAAGAACTGCTGGCTAAACACAGCCACTCAAATAGTGAAAACTAAACCACTTTCATAACCTAATTGATCACGTTCAGTATTCTCATGTCAGGTCAGATCATCCATTAGGGCTCAAAATCTGGGGAATTCTGAAGTGTTTTCACTGACATCAATTCATGGATGAGGCTTTCAGACGTTCTTTTTGATAGATTACATTAATAGCAATGTTTGAAAGTCTAGAATGCAGCTCAGAAGCTATAGAAAACTATTGTTTACCTGGTTGTTTGATTCTGCATGGTAAAGGGAACTTAACAGAGGAAGGAAATCAAAACTCCATGTTTAGATTGTGGCTAATACTGTGATGATAAGATAATTTCTCAATGAGATAACAGAGAAGTACTTCATGACTATGCGTAAGCCTACATTGCGATGTGCTGCCAAAATAACTCATAGAATAGGTCTGAAATAAATTGTATGTATGTGATTCTCTTTCTTAAAGCATTATGTGTTTGGTTTTCTTCATACCTTTTGTTTTCCTGCACCTGTCTGGAGGTGACGACTGAATAAAAACTTTATCTGGCTTTTTTGACTTAGGATTTTTCCCTTGATTTTTATTTTGTCTTCTTTAGCTAAGGCTGCTTTCCAACTTGCTATAGAAGCTTTTTTCTCATTTCATGTGACTGCTTCCTCCCTCTTCTGAGCTCAGCTACAAAACAGCAGGCAAATACACATCTCGCAGTCAGTCTGCTGAGTAAAACAGTAGCTGAAAGGGTCCTTCCATCTGAACTCTTTTTTTTGAGGTCAATTCCAAGAATGAGTCAGATATAGTATTATAGAAGACACAGACTTTGCCTAATGAGGAACGTTTGTTGTTTGATATATATATGCCAGCTTTGAATTTTATCTCTTTGTGCCAGGTTGGCATGTGGTACCCTCAGGGTTTCACACTTGGTGAAGTCAAGCACCGTTTGAGCTTCTGCTGTTCCTGAGCACTCTCTGTTTATGAACAGATCCAATTTTTACAAAGACTCCCAACATAGCCCTGAACATCACATCCACTCATGTCTCATTTTGAAGGATTTCCCTGGAACATGGCAGAAGGGAAATTAAGATAATTTTGCATTAACGTGTTTTTCAAGAGAACATTCTCCTTTCTTTTCTCTTCTGCTTTAGGAGAAAGCAAGCCCTAAGTGAAGAGAAAACAAAGACATGTACCTCTTCCTGCTCCAAGAGGCAGCATGCACAGAGAAGGTATTTCAGGCAAGGTGATTTATTGTAAATTATATCCATGATTGTGTTCTTAATTATTATTTCAGAAGTAAGGCTAAGATATCAGCTGGGAGTTTTCCAGGAAATAAATCAGTAGTTAACAGATTTAAAGCCTCTTAGCATCTATGACTGCTTGTACTCCTACATTTGCTTTGAGTGCTTCTACAGCTTGGTAACAGAGCTAACCCAGACTGACTACATTTTCTCTGTTCAGAAAATTCATTTAACCTGCTCATACCAGAGTAAGAAAAAACTATTCTATATATTATATTCTCTTAGATGGAGACTGATAAGGATGGGTACACCAGACAGGAAGCTGATTGCAAACACATTAACTGGGTTCAATGATTTCTATATCTCTTTCCAGGAAATACCAAACTCTTCAGTAACTTCTGAAAATAAGATATCTGAGCATGTCACACAAAAAAGATCACTTTTCCCTGATACCACTGAACAGCATTAGCTTCCTTTCAAATTGATTAGTTCTTCATGGTATTATTTTACTTTCAGCTTATGTGCAAATCCATAGCCCTTTTTTTTTTTTTTGTTTTTTTTGAGATACCAACATGAAATTACTAAAATGAATAGTGGATTGTAAAGAAACTTCAAGGAAAGAAACTCCAAATTTTTCTTTTTTGAAATAATATGGGCAAAGATCTCAATTTATATTATACAGATGTATCCAAAGATACATCAGAAGCATTTGTTGACTTTAAAAAAATTAAATGGAATCAATCATAATAATATCTTCCCATAAATTCTTTTAACCACTAGTTTGGATCCCGTAAAATTCTTTCAATAAAATTGTGAAAACCAAACCTGTAGTGACTTCTACACACAACAAACTGGGCAAGATAAAATATAAAGACAACATTTATTACACAATTCAGAAAATTGGACAAATAAGGTTATTTCTACTTTTGAAATATTGAAAATTTATGTATTGTTGGAGGATTACTACAATTGTTCTTAGGGCATGTTACTGCCCTAAGTTCTTTCTTACTCAAGTGAAGCAGGACAAATCTGCCTGTAATTTAGGAATTCCCTCTTTATTCTTACTCCATTAGCATAAACCTGAAAGGTAGGGAATAACTTCAAAACAAAGGAACTCGTGGGAATTATTTTCTGTTTTCTTATGAGTTTTCTGAGTGCCTTAATACCAACAACCTTTCCCAACATAAAAAAAAATCTAACCTAGAAGTATTTGTTAACTGCACTGTGTTCAATGGTGCTGAATTTTTTGTTGCATTTTATACATCAATCACAAAAGATCACAATATCACAGAGCACCATGCAAACCACACTACAGGAACTCAGCACATTTTAATTGTTTGCAGGATAGACAACATTGCGATATAACATGTTTGTAGTTCTGCTTTGAGAGAATTTTTTTACTAGTCTCATAATGACTTATTTTGACTTATACCTCATAATCTACTTATTTTGAAGCAGAAAAGAGAAAATATAAGAAGGCAGCAGCAAAATTTCCCCACAGTGCAGGAAACTTCTAGAGAGTGATGAAAAGATTCTCAAAATAATTTCATTTGAGAGCTGAAAGCAGCTATCTATCTTCTCTACCAATGTGATCACTTCTTTTTTCTCTTGCCTCAAACATACATGAGGAAGTCACCAGAGGATGAATGAATCTTTTCCTCTACCTGATTTGTCTTGATAATTCTACATATGTACAAATGTTGCTTTTTGATATGTGCTTTTTGTATCTTATTGCCACCAACAGCGTTCACAGGGATCCGGAATAAATGCTTCATTAAAACTGGCACAATGGGAGCCTAGGTGAAAAAGAACTGCTCAGCAGTGACAACTTTCAAAGTCTTCCTTGACTAGGTAGTTATTAGCTTATTAGCCTTCTTCAAAGAGAATGAGATTTCTGACCTTCAGAGTGACTTACAAAATCTTTGATTTTATAACCTTTGCTTTAGACCTGGCCTAAGCATATTGATCATTTATTCAGGTAATCACCAAACAACACTGGATTGTGCCAATCAATTTTTCTAACTTTGCTTGAAACCCACTTGCAGAGGGCAGCTTAGCTTACATACTGTATCATGACAGAAATGCATAAAACATTTAGCTTCTGAGCATTAACACTGCTACTTGCCTCCTATTAAGGAAATGTATTTTATACGGAATGTTTGCACTTCCACCGTGAGTGGGACTGCTTATCACTGCTATATTCTCTGCAAAATGAGGTCATCAGTGCTCCAGATGCTTGAATCTGATGCATTTGCTTTCTCTTCCAAGTCTGTACATCTCCAGAATTTTCTCAAATCAGTACTAGCACCGTACATGCAGAACTGAATACAAGACAGCTCTTCAAATCTCTCATGTTTGTTATCATCCTAAAACCCTCATTCTTTTCACTCGCAATACGTATGGTATCACCATTAGGAAAAAAACAATTTAAAAGTAAACTCTACTGAGATCCACCTTGCTCATCATCTCTTCGACATAACACACAAATAGAACAATCTTTCATTTATCTCAGTTCCTCACTGAAATGATCTCCAAGGTAAAGAAAAATGACTAAAAAGAAACTCAAGTTATGCTGATGCGTACCTAATTAGCAGAAGACCCTCTAAAAATGCTGCTCTTCTTTTCATCTTCATTGCTCAGAACCTCTGATTTCATTCTAATAAACCAGCACACATCCTCTAGATCCTCCTGGACATCTTAACAGTGAGACATTTCCTAAACTAATTAAGAATAACCTCCTTATAATCAATATTGTGTATTACTGTTACTAACATGCACAAACTCTCAGCATCTTTTCATGTCTGCTTTTTCAAAAAGCAAAGATCTGCTGGAAAAAACTTAAATTCATACTAAAATATAGTCTATTTTTAGAACATAAGGTGAAATAAATATTACGGCTGCATTTCAGAAATGTGTGTTGAGTGGAATGCAGAATCCAAATCCAAATTATCTTGTGACAATCAAATCTCTGTGGGAAAATCTTTATTTACCCGAGTTTATCAGTCTCCTTTTGTAAAAAAGTTATCTTGCCATGGAACAATAAAAGTTTTGGCTAAACTGTTTGACTGGATGTAAATGATTTTCTCTGAAGCTGTAACTAGATGGAGATCAGCACTCATGCTACAGAAGGCAAGCCATTGTTTTCAGAGCTAAATGTAAACATTACTTTGTTTACTCTCATTTCTCCCATACTCAGACGCAATTATATAGAATACAAATTTATAGGCAAACGTTAATAAGAAAATTTGTATTCTGTTTCTTTTTTCTGGTGTGAGAGAAACACAGAGATTGTATCTCACGTTCTGAACACTTGGAAGGTCTTAACACATTACAGTGATGAGACTGTTTTTGTAAGTATATCAGCAGACAACTAGCTGGGTAGTTTTTTATTAAAATCTATTAATAATCCAAGCAGATTTAGTCAACTACTACTTTTTTCACTTAAACATTTGGAGTTTAATATTATTTATTTACGGCTACTTTAAGAGTACCTTGATGAACCTTGACCTGAAAATGCTTGCACAATCACTTCACAAGACATTTTTCAACAAACTGATGCTTGCTAGAGGATCCCTATGTATGTCTTACATGACAGTGGCACTGGGATATATAAAATAACACTAAACTCTTTTCTCAGAGAAGTTCTTGTCTGATTTCAAAACAGAATAGTAGAAATGTGAAGAAAACCAAAATGGTTTATGAGCATATTTTCATCAATTACTTATAGTTGCTTATTGCTGTAGATCAGTGTTAGCCAATTTGTATTCTTTTTCTCTCACAGTTGATAATTTACTTACATGATGAGGCCACTTTCTCATATATTTGGTACTTACTACTGATTTGGAGATTGAATTCAAATAGCAAAGACAATGTTGTAGAAAACAACTCTTACCATTAAAGAATGCCATCTCTGGATTGCCAGCTTCTAAAATATTAGCAGAAAAAAACCATGTGAGCAAGCTTAATTATCACTTTTCTTGATATGATTATATTCAAAAAGGATCTTCTGTAATAACTGGGAAGTAAATAGCACTCTATTGTTATAACAAAAAAGATGATCTGTAACAAAATACTCACTTTCAGCAGTTAGCTCCTCCACAGTTTTCCCATCATCTTGATATTCACCTAACCACCTTTCATTGCATAGACAAAAAGAACGAGATTAATAACAACTATCAGTATTGATGATTATCAGCAACTAATCAGACAATTACCTTTGCTCCCTTTTCTATCAAATTATGCCTTTAAAATACCTCCTAAGCCTAATTTTCTTATATATATTCATCAGAGTTAACATTATTTGTACTGGGAGAATCTACTTTGTTCTCAGCAAAAAAATTGGAAATTTCATGATAGTTTGATGAAGCAATATAGCACCTTGGACGAAATACACTATATGACATAATAAGTATTTTCAGGATCAGACATTCAATTGTACATTCAAGTACCACCTGCAGTGGTCAGTTAGATTCATTGTACTTAAAATGATATATAAAACCAGGTCAGCAAGTTTATAGAAATTCTACAGATATGCAGCAATGAACTGAATTTGTCTTTTATCTTTCCTTTTCTTTGATACAGATGAATTTAAGGAGTTGTCCTGTAAAATCACTTACCTGCAAAAACTCATCCATATCTTTCAGTTGCCATTCGTATAATAACACTTTGCAGCCATTAACATTTTTTTAAATAAAAAATTATGTGCTCATTATCATTTTCTATTCTATTGGGTCCATATAGATGTGGCCTTTGTTTAAACCCAAAGATCCACAATATATTTCACTTCTAGTACGTAACAAAAATATGTAATAATGTGTAATGCACAAAGTCTAGACTCCACTGTATTTCAACTATGGTTGCAATAAATAGCTCAATTAACTTTTGTAAACTCTTTCCACATTCACTGCTAAGAAGGAAAAAAAAAAAAAACATTAGCATTTTCTAAAAATAGAAAGCAGATTTTGACACTTTGGCAGCACACTTACATTGCACAAACAATGTCATTCCTTTAGTTCTCTATTTAATAATCTTAATTTATTTTTTTCTAAGAGCTTAATGATTCCCTTTTGACATAGCAGTTTTATACAGCTCTGATGTGCTCATTAAGTTCCTTAAGTCTTACAAAAGCTCCCTGACATTAAGGAAACAATTGCCTCATTTGACTCCCCTTCCGATAGCCATATTCAGTGCATACCAAAAGACATACTAAGACAAGAACCTGATCATCAGAACAATACTCAACAGGAGAAAACGGGTATTAGGTAATAATTTCTAGGAACTTTGCAAACTGAAACTGTTGCTTTGTGGTATTATTTTGTAAACAGGAAGCATTCTTAAAGAAGCATCTGTATTGAACTGCAAAAGACTTTCACAATTATAATGTACAGTTCCCAAAATAACATGGAAATCACTTCAGCAGTATAGCCTAAACTCACAAGTTCTGGAAACCATGTATACCAGTGTCATGGTTCTACGTTTTGTTTTTGTTTTTGGGTTCCAGTATTCCACATCAAAACATCATGAAGTGTACGGGGCATTAAAGTGTCACTGCCCCAATCCCAGCTACCTATCCCTGTACATTACAGCAGTCACGGGATCTGGCCCTTCCGGGTGGGGGGGCGCTCTCTTGCTGCCTGGCAGTGGGTGCTGGAGGTGCTTTCCTAGCCGTTCCAAGCTTTTCAGGTTTGACTCGGTCCCGGGAACTCTCTCTCTCATCTTGTCTGATTTATTAATCTCAATTTCAATTAAATTGTATATATTGTGTTATCTTGTATTCCGATATTATAGTAAAATAAGTTTTCCTCCATAGATTGTTGCCACTGCTCTTTTCCTCCCTTCCTTCCTTCTCATTTTTGTGGGACTGGGTGGGGGGGGAGGGCAAAGGCCTGTCACCCCTGTCACGGGCATAGATTGATCTGGTCAACTCCGTGACAGAATTTATAGCTAGATTTAAATTATAATTCTTCACATTATTTCTTTTGTATTGAATATACAAATGCAGAGGTAACACAAACAAATTCTTACTTTTGTATGCTCATCTATTTAATATTTTTTTCTATTTTAGTCATGTGATTCAACATACTGACAGCAGCTAAGAGTTCAGGTTGCAGTTGGCTCAGGTAATAAAATATTTAGAACAGGCTATTAAGTAATTGTTAGAACTGAAAGTCAGGCATTTTCCAATCTTGCACATGACAGTAAAATTCTAGACCTAGTTATACACAGAAATAGTGATTTATCAAATACAGAAATATTTTACGTCTTCTATAGGTAGAAAGTTAAAGGCTTTCTAAAGATTTGTGGAATGCATACAAGGTTTTAAGCAACCAAGGGAGATGCACTGACCAAAATCAATACATCTAGATCTTTTCACATAATAGTTTTCATAAAGGCAAGAACTGAAACCTCAGTTATTTTCATGTGGTCTCTGTATAATTGAAATAAAGGAAATATTAATGCACCTTTTTGCTTGTTTTGGGCTTCTTTGCATTAGCAAATTCTTTGCATTCTCCTTCCCCTACCAACCCAGCAAACTTCAGCTTCGCCAGCAAAATTTTGCATTCCTAGTCCTTTGAGAAACTCTAGGGCATTGCTCATATATCTAAGCTGTGTGCACGTGCCTGTTCTGAAGAATTTTTCCCCAGGTTGCCAAGAGTATAATGAACTAATTCTGTTTTGCCACGAATGACATACCTGTTACAAGGAAATACAACCTCTTTCCCTTCCTTTCCTTCTTTATAGTTAATAACAATCTTGTCCAAGAACCATCCATTACCTGTGTTGAAATAACAAAAGTTTATCATCTGAAATAATGCACTTGTTTAAATAATAACAATAATAATAATAATAATAATAATATAGAAAAAAAAATGGCCAAGATGATATTTCTCATCAGAAAAACAGTTCCCATTAGGACAGAGTTCAACTAAATGAGTAAATTAACACAATGAAAGCTATATTATTCTCTGTCTATTGCAAGATCTACAATGTTGACTATTCTCCATCTTGCACTGTTGTAATTTTAAGGGGGAATGGAATTTTTTGTTTTGCTTGGAGACAAGCATTTGCATATGTCTGTGAACTGCCAACACCATTCACATCCCAGCCTACATCTTTTTATTCCTTGTGATCAGGTACAAGAACATTAGGACAAATCTGCTTATGCAGTTATGAGAGATCTGCATGACGGCTAGATTATTTGGTCCTTTGTGAGTGAAGTTATTCTACATAACAGTATTAATTAAAAGATCATTCATATCTACTGCTTCCATTTGCATGTGCTCTTACTTAGCTTCTGAAAATTATATGCCTTAGATTTTACAGTATATGTTTATTTGCATAAACTACAAAGCCAAAATATACGTAAGTCTGCATGAACATTCGATTAACAATTCTGATATAAGCAAATGTTAAAAGCAAACAGAAGGTGTTCTACTGAATATGCGGCAAGCCTCCTCAAAAAGCTTTTCAAATTTCCATTTTAAAAGTCTATATTTCAAGGGTATACTTTTGTTTATTTTAGTCTCTGTAAAGAGAAGAAAGAGCCTTATTTACAGAATTTTTTTTAATATGTAATATAATAATCATCATTGAAGTCTCTTTTTGCCATCCTGCCCAATGAAATAGAATGAAAAAATTTCTTTTGATCTTGCAACAGCAACATTTTAAATTTATATAGTATTTAAATTACAAAGCATCTAAGCACTTTATAGTATCCCCATGTAATTTAATCACCTTCTACTCAAAAGTTTCTGGGAGGTCAGAAAAGTCACTTTTACCAGCAAAGCTATGTAAGTTTTAACACACTTTTAGGTTCTATAAAATCTGTAAATATTAGTATTTTAAGTAGAGAAAAGCAAAACAGAACAGAAATTCCTAGGCTATATTTTCAAGTAATAAATACATTCATCAGCACAAGAGTAAGACTGAGGTATGACTGCTACTGGCCTACTACACTGACAGGAAAAAATGCTTAAGAACTTGATTTTACAGAAGAAATAGCATTTCCCATTAATTAATAGACAGGACATTGTTCCAGTCTTGCTTTTGTTTGCTTGCTTGTTTGTTTTCTTTTTCACAGAGCTGTATCTCTGCCAGATAGAAAAAAAATAGGACTGGCAGGCAAAGTGTTTAAAATTTTCATTGATAAAAAGCATGTATCAGCAAACACAGTAAAACTGTGCAAGAAAATTATTAATAATCTTCTTATTATATCAGTTTTCCCTTTCTTTTCCACATTCTATTGCACTGACTTTTGAATCTACAGTGTACATGTGTAGACTCATATAGTGGTTATATATATGTGTGTGTGTGTGTGTGTGTATATTGGTTTCTCTTAAAGATCATCATTATAAATGATTCTGTGACTCCATGATTCTATGTGATCAAAGGCTCATCTCTTCTCACAGAAACACAGAAGAAGTTGATATATTGGAATACAAGTACTTATTCTGACATGGTTCCTCACAGGGCTGTTTCAGGAGAACTATCAGCCTCAGTTTCCTGATGAAAACCATGAAACCCATCCAATGAGTCAGTGGCAGAGGCACAGATGCTCAGAGCACCTTTTAGACTAGCAGGCACTTCTGCCTACAGAAGTATTGGACTTATCACGGCACTCCAAGAAAGGAGCCTATCCCATGTGCATGTGTAGGTCTCAGCAGCAGCAAATGGATTCACACAACAGGTTGCAGGGCTCCATGTATTATCCTAAATGAAGGAGAGCACCTGTAGGTCAGGGTGTGTTATCTTGCATGCATCAAGATGGACTAAGAGAGTAGGTGAAGTGGCCTGGAGACCAGGGATGTGAATTGATGACCTTCTAGGAACCAGGAAGTCTGTGCCAACTGACAGCGAGGCTGCTGAATGTAAGGGATTGCCTGAGAGCCATGTGTGTGTCTAGGTGTGTTTCTATTTACTGGAGGGATCCAGAGTCCGCGGATCTAGAGAAATGTCTGCATGTGCTTGGGGATCTGGATCTGTACTGGCAGCTGTGTGAGCCTCAGAGTCTGACTGGCCCAGATGCCAGCAGCTGAGGAGAGTGAGGATCCAGAGTCACTACTGGGCAGACTGAGCATCTAAGACCAGTTACTAGGTACCTTATATATACATATATATAATACGGTTATATCTACAAACCACCATTCTGATCAGTTGGAGAAGGGAATGGGCTGAGGCCATTGGTCCTGTTTATGCCTGTGTGAGTGCTGAGTCTCTGTTGGCACTAACATGGCTGGCCATTGGAACATGAACTGAGTTTTGCTAATAACAGGACAGGGGTAACAACTGCCGTGTTCATGCTGTTCTTTTAAATCACTTCCAATAACTATCCTAGTGACTGGTACAGTTCTCCTCAAAAGCTGTTTTCAAATACCCTGTTTTCACAGTGGCTACACTCCTCAAAACTTACCATTGGTTTCACAAGGTATTGCATGAGTCATACCACTGTTAGCAGTGTTATTGAAGCAGAACAACATTAAAGAACAACACTGCACTGTGCTAGGGTCCAAATACTGACACTGCAAAAGCTATGTTTCCAAAAGCACATAAACCAGATGATTACAAGAACATTTGCCAGCCATGAGAAGAAACCTGCAAAAAAATGACTATGACCCTGATCCTAAACCTTACAGAGGTCTCTCTCCTACCCTAAAGAGAGCATATATTTCACGATCCTGCCAAGATAGTTCCCAAATTCAGATTAAAGACCTTCTGCCCTATCATTCAAGCAGGTGATACAATCAGAACAGTGGATAGCCCCATCTCTAATGGAACACTCATTCCTCCTTCTCACTCACAAATGACAGTTTCTGTAGATGGCCACTCTTCTGACTTATTAGAGTATTCTAGCTCTCATCCACTGCCTTACCCCACTTCCACTCACCTCAGGCTTATTTCAGATTAGTATGAGACGAATTCAAAAGAAACTTGTGAAATCTGTCTGTACTGAGTACAATCAACAATTTTAATTACCTAGGCATAAATGTTATCAAATAGGGAATTCAATCCATGCTCCTGTTTAGATCATTCTTCAATTAGAGAGATTTTGAAACCTGTTTGAAATCTAGATTTGTAATATTGATCCTGTGATATAGCTGTGATGCCTATTATGGAAGAAGTGAGGGAAGAGATGGAGAATATACTATGTGTACTGGGGAACAGAGCGAAGGTAGACTCTGTCACACTGCCTTTTCAGTTATGTTCTAGGATATGTTCAGTTATATTCTAGGATACGGAACACTCAGGTACAATCATCTGTATTGCCGAAGACAGTAAAATCTAGAAAATTACAAAGATTTGAGTATCAGCTTTACACCCTACAGCGTGGCCAAACACTAAGGCTACTTCAGTAATAGTCACAAGTCTGCTCAGTGCCTTGGACAGCACAGTCACCATACTGGGCACTGCTTGAGGTCGTTTCAGAAGAGAGTGAAGGTTTTTCCTGATCTAGTATCAAACATAGCCTTGAGCAGCTTTAAAAACATTTCTGTATTTCTAAAAGGGGGAAATGATTTCAAAGGGGAATTTAAGGGTTTTAAACTAAGACAGAGGAGATTTAGGTTAGATATTAGTTTTTCACACAAAGGGTGGTACGCACTGGAACAGGTTGCCCAAGGAGGTTGTGGATGCCCCATCCCTGGAGGCATTCAAGGCCAGGCTGGATGTGGTTCTGGGTAGCCTGGTCTGGTGGCTGTCAAGCCTGCACATAGCAGGGGGGTTGAAACTCGATGATCTTAGAGGTCCTTTTCAACCCAGGCCACTCTGTGATTCTATAAAAAGTGTCTCTTCATACCTATTAACCTGGAAACATTTTTGCAGTATTTACATCTCCAATACTTTTAAATACCAGCCTTCTCTTCAATGACATCATTCCAGAGATGTGCAACTGAAGGGCCTATATCAAAAAATATTCTCTATGCAAAATTCTTTTTTCTGAAAACATTACAAGACGAGTGCAATGCCAGATAATGGAGCAGGTCCACATTGACTTACACAGATTAAATTAATAACGACATCTACTCCCATTACCCAAAGTAGCAAAGAAATAAGGCTATAGCTATTCAAATTTGATTGGTAGTGAAGCAGATGCTGAATATCTTTATTTCTATTCCATTTGGTCTTTACTCTGTCTAATGAAAGATTATTTCACTTTTGTAAGCAACATTTTCATGAATTTTTAATATGCAAATGAATGGTGTTCTGTTATAAATAAACTTGAAAATGAAGTGGATTATTTGACATTAAATCTGTTTCCTCTTTACTGACTATTACCACTGTTTTTCACCATCCCATCACTGTGATTGCTCTGCAGGAAGACTTTTTATCACTGTAAGACCTTCTGTCCCAATCTGAATGTAGGATGCAATATAAATAACGTGTTATGTTTAAAAAGGACTTGAAAAGAGACTGGTCTCTAGGAAGTTAAATCCTACCTGGACCAGTTCCATCATGGCTAATCAGAACTTTCTCCAAGTCTCCAAGTGAGACAGCCTTTATGAAGAAAATATCCATCTGTGGAAACATACAAGGAAAATAACAAAGGTCACAATCACAGCTATCATTTTAAGAGTATAGTCATTTATTTTTTTTCCTTTTGCAAAATAAATATGGGTTTCTTATGTTGGTCTTGGCCAGATAGGACAAATGTATGAAAATTTTTCAAGGTGAAGAGCACCTTAAAAAATATTCCACAGAATAGCATTTGATTCCTTTGATGTGACACAATGATTAAATGCGAAGAATGCTTTGGTCATCTTTACAGCTCTTTCTGCCTCACAAAGAATGGAAAAACTCTTGGGAATAAGGATTTAGAGGTTGATTCTAAAATTCATAATGATGTATTCAGGAGAACAAAAATGGTATTTTTACTATGTTATGCATATGTCTAATATAAATAACAAGCATTACATAAATTCTACTATTCAGTGCTTTTAGAAAAGATTTTTTTTTCCAAAATCAACAGATAAGTATTATTCACATCATGTAATTCTGTATGTAGCATTGAATAAAGAAAATCTATGAGAAAGCAGCAAGCTACTTATATTAAAATAACTGAAAAGATATTTACACATGTTGAAGAAACAGTTTGCAAGCCATAATTTACTCTTATTGATCAGAACTAGCACTGATTTTACTTCACCTGTCCATGTTGAAACTTTACTTTATTGTTCTTAGATCTATGGAGCTTCCTTTTGCCAGCATCTCCTCTTGTCCCAATAAGATTGATATAAACATTAAAATCTGTTTCAGCACCAAGTTTAGCACCTGTGTGAACATGGATCTCATACACAAGCACTAGAAGAAGAAAAAGCTTGAAATTATCCTTATAGTTCATACAAGATTCAAAACCTTTCTCAACAAAGTTTGGCCAGAAGACCACAAGTTTGTAAATAGTAACAGCTATCCATATGTCTGTCCCCTGTAGGTTCAAGCCTCGTAATTCTCGACACACAAAAAACCCTGAAAATACTGAACTTTGCATTTATGCTGAGTATAGGAGTCCATCGGCACAAAGCAGTCTATCTAGTAAAAGTTCCCTTGTGCTCCATTTTCTTCTCTCGTTCTATGTTTAGTATTCATGATTTCAGGGCATAATTTGCAAAATCATTCTTGCCAAGTTATCTGGAGACTTGTTCCTTAGGCGTGCTCTCAGACAATGGTTACATTTCACTGGTACCAAGACATTGTCAACCTCCAGATTTGTGTAAAACAGAATTTTGTGATGCGTAACCTTAATATGACAAGAATAGTAAGATCATGAATCTCAGTAATTTTAGATTTTCACCTCACACACAATGGTGAACAAGAACATGAATGGGTTTCCTCGTTATAAAAGGTGGACACCCAACCTGCTTTTGAAGGTTTCATCATTTATCACTAGTGGATGCTAACTCTTTTAAAGAAAGCTTTGAATTAAAAGATACTTACAACTTTTTAATTTCTCTTGTTCTAGAAAAAAAAAAGTCTTACAGATAAAAAAATATCTTCAAGGAATTAAGTCATATAACTCAGAGTTACTATATTAATGTATTTTTCACCACAGTAATATAACTGCTTACCAAATAAGCATACTTACATTAAAAATAACTAATTGTAATAATTACATACTATTATATTTCATGCTTTTTTTCCTCACTCTGACTTACAAAAACATTCCTATTTACATTTTAATGGCAATTTTTCCATGCAATGTGTCTGCTCTATTCACAGCTGGTCACTTCTGCTTCTATCTAGTAAATCATAGAGGAAATTACTGTTTCAATAATGGAAAATTTTATAGCACTTTTGAAATAAAGAAAGGCAGTGACAGTCCTAACAACACTACCTTTAAGAGGGAACTAGGTTGAAAACAGTTGAAGCTTGATACTGGAAAAAAAATCCTACAAATATTTAAGCTGTATTACTCTTACACTACCAAATAGTAGAATCATGCATTTTCTATAAGTTTTTCATTCACTGAACCCCATGGCAACTTATAAGACTTAAACATCATACCACTGAACGAGTAATTTCTGATTCCCAGCAGAATATTTAAGGAAGTAGTAAAATAATATGGCAAGCACTCAAGGGCAGAAAATACCCTCAGATGTATTCAAAAGCAGGTAGGAAATGTTGAGGACAGTATGCTTAAGAAATTAGAAAACTTTTAATTCATATGAAATAATCCTGAACTAGAAAGGATACTGTCTCCAACTCAATGCCACTATTACAACTGCGACTCAAAATTGCAGGAAAGTGCCCTGATCAATTTTATTATTTTCCACACTTCCAACCATTCACTGTAGCTCTCACATCCCTGCATTACTGCATCACCAGATAGACGGAGATATGGATAATCTCCACAATACACATTTTCAAAAAACAGTCTTAAGGTTTCTCACAGAGCACATGGTATTTAACAAAAAAAAAAAAAAAAAAAAAAAAAAAAAAAAAAAAAAGGGAGGTGTGGCTAGCAAGTAACAAAAAGAAATGGAGCTATTAATTTGCATAGTTATGTATTCAAATGTCATTTTATATCGTAGAGTTTTTGACTCATAAAACTACAGAATAACTCAATTTTGAAGGGGCTCACAAGGATCATTGAGTTCAACTCCTGGCTCCACACAGAATCACATAAAAATCAAACCCTATATGTGAAACTATTGCCCAAACACTTCTGGACCTCCAGCACTCAGGGCTGTGCCCACTGCATGGGCAGCCTGCTCCCCCCCCCCCCCCCCCACCCTCTGGTGCAGACCTTTTCTGTAACCCCCAGCTCCCCTCCCCTGATGCAACTCCATGCCGTTCCCTCAGGCCCTGTCACTGTCACACAGAGCAGAGCTCAGAGCTGCCTCTCTGCTCCCCGTGAGGAGCTGCAGCCACCATCAGGCATCCCCTCAGCTCCTCTGCTCTGGGCTGAGCAAACCCAGGGACCTCAGACGCTTCTCATACACCTCAACCTCTAGACTCTTCCTCATGTACACAGCCCTCCTCTGGTGACTCTTAAATAGCTTTATGTCCTTCTTATGTCGAGGTGCCCAAAACTACACACAGTGCTCAAGGTGATGCCAAGTACTCTTAACACTTTATCATTACTTTTGCTATATTCATACTGCATATAGTTCAATAACAGGAGGGTACTTGACGATTAAGACACTATTCAAAGAACAGAGAACAATGGGTGACAATATGCAATGAAAGGAAACATTCTAGAAAGCAAAGAGTCACAATGATCATGAACGGGACAAAATCTTTTCAGGGAGTGGGGAAGGTGAGAGATCACATTTCCAAAAAAAAAAAAAAAAAAACCCTAAAGATTATATTCAGTATTGCCATCCATTTTAATAACAGAGCTAGACTACCTGAGGAGGAAGGCACCATGGATCAGCATGAAGTCTCCTTCATGCTTTTATGTTCTTACATTGTCATTCTGAAAAAGGAAAGTATCAGTGGGAGCCAAGTAAAAGGGTTAAGCTAAGGGAAGACTGACTATGCTATGACTGTTTATACACAAAAATTGGTTTCTATATTATTTATACCTACAAGTAATTCCCACGATCAAAACTGTAAGACTTCCATAATGGTAACTGCTCTGTTAAAGCATAGTCAAGGCTATTTTAATAAACCCCTTCACAATAAATGATTAATAAAAGAGAATACAAATGATTTTTTTCCTTTCTGGAGGGACACCAAACCAAATGGATTAAGTACAGGAAATACCAGAACAGAAGAGACACTCAATTTTTTTTTTTTTTTTAAAAAAAAAAAAAAAAAAAAAAACACAAAAAAAAACACCATGGAACACAACACAAAGATACTAGAAGCTAAATAAATGACAGATCCTTTTGTAGCTCTGCACTTCTCTTTGGTAACCAGAGAGATTATAAATAGACTAAATAATTTAGTCTGAAGTAGAAAACATGTACATGTTGAAATGTAAAGAACAGAAAAATATTTTCCATTTTCCTTGCATCTATACATCTCTCACCATCTGGAGAAAGTTAGATCTGACATTTATTTAGGCTACACAATCTGTATTATTTAGAAAGAACCTCCTTCTCAACAAAAAGACCAGATTATACTTCAATTTTTTATATAAATTAACAATACTCTATGAATTAGGGTGCTGTATTAGGATAATAAATGGAATGCTCCTTTACCTTAGCTTGTCTGTATGTTCACACATTTTATAGGAAACTCACAGTTAAAAATAATAATAATAATAATAACAACAACAATAAAATGCAAGGAAAATATTATTCAAAAATGTCCTGTACATCCCACTACAGAAAAGTGTTTGGAATAAGATAAGCTTTCACTAAATAGACTGCATAGGTTAGATATTTTCTCTGCAAATGGCAACGTAGGTTACAGAGTAACTAAACCAGATGCAATGTCTCCAAACTGTGAAGTAGTTCCTCTGTATCGCAGAATAGCTACAAAAGAGTGTTAATGGCTACTGAGTAGGGATTGCTTAAATATAACGACAATATATGCCACTATATAACAGATAAGGCAAGGCATAGCAGCTGTTTGATGAACACTTAAGACAGATACAACCAAGACTGGAGAACAAACCTATCAGCTGAATGCACTGCTGAGATAGCAAGACTCACCATATGTGAAATTTGCTTGTTTGTAGTTTTCTGTTCATTATTTGTTGTGTGTGTATGGCAAAACAAAAAAATCTTAGAAAGTATGTTCAGCCTCTGTGTCTGATTTCATTTCCTTTGAGAAACTGATCTACTCTAAGGCCCTCACTGTCACAACATCTGAAATAGAGACATGCTTCACAGCAGTAAGAAAAAGCAATCACGCAATTTTGAGAATTACAGCTCTATGACCTGATCGTCTTCTCTGCAGCGGCATTTTCGTTACACAATATTCTACTGATTTAATGAAACTACATCAACAGAAAACTGAGATGGCAAAAAATAGAGGTAGAAAAAAAGATATAAAATAGGCAGAAAAAAAAAAAAGAAATAAAAAGGTGAATAATATAAAGACAACTATTGAACAGAAGTCATGAAATACTACTTCAGCATTCAAAGGGACCTGTTAGACTCACATTTAGGCAGTTCTATCTAATGTGGGGCATATCAGAGTGATAGAACAAACATCCTGAAAAATGCAATAAGTTTGATAAAGGATATAAGAGGATTAATTAACACAGAATGGCTGGAGCAAATCTCAGGTAGTACTCACTAGAAAATAAAGTGACCTTCTGGACAGTAAGAGATTGAGATTTATAAGTTCCTAAAATGGTTGATTAAGACAAGCTTAATAATCAAACAGAAAACTCTGAGACATGGATGCACAGATGAAAAAGTTGAAAGAAGGGAGAGAAAATGTTTTCAGATGGAGGTGGTGAGTTCTAAATGGTTGTACAAAAGATAGACACCAAATCAATAGAACTATGCTTAAAAATGGCATAGGTGCTTAATACCAAAAGGAGTATAAGAGTTACTGAGCAGTCAGTGTATAAATTTCAAATCTATATACTCTTGGTCTGTAAAAACACACTACTGCTACTGTCTGAGATATTATCTTGAGACTTCTAGTGTTTCGTTATGTCTCAACTCCAGCTTCTGGCTTCTATCAATAACATTTTCATGAACATGAACTACCTGGACAAAAGTGAGAAAGAAAGGAAGTTCTGTTTCTATGGTCATGAAGTAAATGTGAACTAAGGGCGTATGAAGCCAAGAAAATACAAATTAAAGAACCTTTTTTTTTTTTTTTTTTTTTTTTTTTTTCAGATTTCTAATTCTGGGCACCTGAATCAAGGTTTCCAGTGTATAGGATAAGGTATATTT